TGCTTATTATTTAAAGAAAATTAAATTACGCAAACTTTATATCCGTTTTTTTAATATCCATTCACTCAACTTAAATACAATTTTCTCTCAAAGTCTCAATACCATTCTGTAAACCCTTCTAAAGTACTTCAATTATTTCTATCAAGTATCCAATTTGCAGTTTGACACTCTTTGGTACACTGCATTCACAGCAGCAATTCTGCAACTAATTTTCCCGCTGCCACGAAAGCGCAGCGTATTTTTTGACGACAAACTTTTGTGAAATTGTCATAGAATGCCTAGCCGTAGCATGAACACACATAAATTCTCTTGTCTACCTGTTCGGCGTGGCTGTGGCCCAACCTAAAAGTTTTGAAATTTGAAAATGTAATAAATTTTATATTGGGCCGCTCCAAAGCAGCAGTCAACGAGCCAGCAGCGCGCGACCAACAACAAATAAAGTCAAACAATGCGGCAAACCAGCGATTTGAAATGTGGTCGCCAATGAGTGGGACAAACCAACCAACCAAACAACCAAGTAACCGACAAACTTACAACAAATCAGCCAACTATCAACCCAACATTTTAGGCCTACAAGCAAATGTGAGTAGTTTGCCGGATTTTGCATATAAAATTTACGCGAATTCGCAAAGGAAAAAAATGAAATAAAATTGGTGCAAAAAACTTCGACAGCAAGCAGCTGCCAAAAAAGTTTAGAAGTTAAAGAGTGCAAAAAGAGAAAGATAAGGCAGCTGCTGAAAGGCGTGGAATTGATGGAGGTTGGTGTAACTTGCTACACAGCCTCCAGTGCACTTTGCTAATGTTGTAATTGCAATGTTGTTTATTTCTTTTTTATTTAAATTTTTGAAAAACAAAAATTGTATGTGGCACAATTCGAAAATACTAGTATAATGTGTAGAGTCGGGCAGTCCTTAAAATACAATTATGACAATTTCAAAATTAAAAAATATTTAGGGGTTACCAGGGTATGAAGGTACATAGGTTCTTTGGGTACTTAAAAGAACCCGCCTAAGTAACTCGATGCGGGTACTTTAACGAACATAATAACTGATGTAGTACATCTTCTTATTAACTTACATAAATACTTGAATAACAACATTTAATGAAGTATACATAGTTTAAGACCAAAATCGTAGCATTATTTAAACACATAAACAAGTAAAGAAAAACTTTGTTAAAAAAATATTTAGTGCAATGGTATGTCATTTTTACAAGTATTAAATTGTTTAAAAGTCAAAGTTGAACAAATCATTTTGTACCAAATTCAAAATGATATTGTTTGCCACTTATGTTTATTTATTAACATACAAACAAATAACATATAACAAACAATTACAAATACCATAAACCTAAGCTTAAGATTTTGTCGAACACTTAAAAAAAGATTCATCATAATTTCCAACTTTTTCTCAGAAGTGTTTTTTGAGTATACAGTTTTATAGCCCATTTAATTTTGGTGTAATAATGTGCAAGCTTCAAGTGGCTAAAAATTGCCGTTGATTTTTTAGAATTTTTTTTTACCGAAGGTGTGTAGCGCTGCTACTGAATTTGAAAATACGTGAATATTTTAAGGAATTTTAAAAGAGCACTTAAAAGGGGAAACTTATAAGTAAAATTGTTGTTTATAAGAAAAATTGAGGTACTTAGGCGGGTTGGGTAAATAAGCGGGGAGGTACTTAAGAGAGGGATTTTCTTCTGATTATTTTAAAAAATGCACGGTGTCCACAAATGTTGGTTACTTAAGCGGGCGGCTTGGGCGGGTTTTACTTTACATCATGTTTTCTAATATTCGATAAAATATTGAGTTTGAAAATAAATAAACATCGCAAAAATTTTGTTTTTGACCAGCTATAAAGATTAAAAAAATTCGATTCGAAAAAAAACTTCGATTTTGCGTAGCTATAAAAAAAATTTAGGTATGGCTAACTGGGTGTGTGATTTTTTTTTAAACCTCAATATTCTACAAAATTTTTACTTTGACCAGTTACAAAAATAACAAAAGAATTTAGGGGTCCCATCAGGGTATGAAAATATTCTAAAAAATTTTGGCTTTGCCCAGTAATACAAATAAAAAAATGCAGGGTTCGCTAGCAGGATGTAAGAAAAAATGTATTTTGTTTAGATCCTAAAAATACGAATTTTGTTTCATATGAATAAGTTTCAATACTTTTTGACATATTTATCCAATTTCAAGTAATAATTTTGTCGAATTTTTGCCTTAAAAAAAATAAGTTTTTCCTAACCCTGGTAGCACCCCAAAAAAATTTTTGTAAAATTTTTAACTTTTTAGCTGTATCTTTATTTTGCACGGAAAACAAACAATTAAGGTGTACATTTTTTAAGGACCAACCTAACGTATAGTACTTATGATTTATGTACATATGCTTTGCGTATCATTAGAATGTTTAGCAGCTAAATAAACAAAATCGATTTCATTTTGGGAAGTTTTTTAGTTGGAGGCGCTAAAATTGTGGGCAAATAATTTTGGGTAAAACGCAAATTTTTTTGAGTTGATGGGAAATTGAACAGTTGGTATGTAATCGATTGCCAACCCATTCCGCCGCTGCAAAACTCGTTTGCGTATGTACTAGGGTGATTAACTCGGTTTTTCCAAACGGTTTCAACCGTGTTTTTTTTTTATATCTACAGGTGTTTTTTTTTTTTATATTAACTTTTCGAATATCGGATAAGCCGCATTTTTTTACCGAACAAACCATTTTTTTTATTTCATACAAATCTTGACCTCTTAATAAAATTTTTTCAGTTTTTCGAAGTTTTCAAGGCTTTTTCCAGTTTAAGGGAAAATTATATCCTGGGTTATTTCGGGATGAACAGTATATCATATTTGCTACCAATAAATTAATGTTTGACGCTTAAATGTTTTCTACGAGCTTGGCGGAGCGTCTCCAACTCGTGCACTGCTTCTTCCTGTTCGTACACAAATTGAGAGACCGTCATTTTACTCCACCTCCGAAGGAGCTTTTTTATGGCAGAAGTAAACTCGGAGTCTTGCCTAGTGCCTAAAGTATTAAAAGCAGGCAATAGTTAAGATCAAACGTGAATTTTTCACTGATTTTTATTTGAGCAAAAAAAAATTTTGGACTTATTTTTCTTTGCTCTTTTCTAAATAAAACCTATCCATGACTCATACCACCAGATGTATGAAAACTATGTAAAAGAAAACTATGTTGATCGTAAACTGGGCTTGAACCACAACGTCTGCGAAACCTAAAAGTTGAAGCTTTGTAGGTTAAACCTTCGAAAAGATTTGACCCCATGAATTTTCGTTTTCTTCTACAGAGTGCGGGGCATTCGGATAACAGTTGAGGGAAGGTTTATGGCCCCCCTCATTTCTGAAACTTCTGCCATTTTGGGGAACCTCTAATTTGGCTGCGCGCCTTTCGATGGCTAAATGGCCTGTTAGCAGGCTCATGGCTGTGGCTAACTCCCTTTTTCCCAGCATGAGCAGATCGTTGCACGTTTAAGAGGTGAACGCCTTAGAATGGGCTTGCAGGTAGTAAGCGGCATGCCTACGCAGATGTACCAGCTCCTTTAAAGATCTGCGGCAGTCCGCGAGTCCGAGTGAAGTGCCTTGAGCGTCGCCTGACTGTCTGACTAGATGGAGATGTTTTACATAAGACTTACATCGGAGGAGCTTTTAATATTGTATCAATATAAGCTATACTGATTACTTTACAAGCAAACAATGTGGAACCTACTACTCTTTTATTTATAAGAAAAGCTTTTATACTGTAAACGAATTATAGAAAAATTGGGTGAAGCCAGGCTAACCGAGCAGGCGGTAAAGGGTACACCAAAGGGAGGGGTACTCTAACCGCTTCTTTGGCTACTCGTGGTAAACGACCTACAAAATAAATTTGAAGGAAAGACACCCAAACTAGTTGTTCATGACATTGGAGTAATTGTGGCAAGGAAATACCTAAACACCATAAGTGATTAAATTAATGGAACTCTCAATACTAAATACCTGCCCGAGTAGGAGTTCAAGCAAATAGCCAAAGGACACCTCTATCTCCATCTGGCATCACTAGGGACCTATTGGTCTACGTGGGATAGGCCAGAATAACCTAGCCTAACCTATATATCTTGGAATTTTCACTAAAGCAGTATTCATGTGCCTGGATTGGGACATTAGGCGATTCATTATACAAACTGAAGATACTTATATTTATTTGCTTTAATGACGCCGTCTACCGCGACATACATAAGCACGAACATGTATACCATTTAATTATTTAAAGTTCTTAGCGTAGTACTGTATGTCCATAGCATTTCCACGCACCCAGTTTGTAAGATTGATATACTCAAAATATTTAAGTACACACGCCCCACAAAACGCAATGTTTTTTTTTTTAAATCTGCAGATATCTATGTACGAGTATATCTAACAGAAACAAAACATAAATGCATAAAATAAATTTAAAATCAAATTGCAATCATTTAAGCCTAAGCCGCCACCCCAACTTACTTACAACTTGCAACTTGCTAAGTGTACGCTGAAAAATCGTGCAGCAGTGACAGCAGCGACCAAAGGCGGCTTGGCTATGCTAAGCTTGTATGTAGGTATTGTTGCAGCCAAAACAATTTTAGTTGCTGTTGTTGTTGCTGCTATCTATTAACTGTTGTTGCTCTCATTAATGCTGCTACAAATATGAGGCTGTAGTTGCTGATTTGGTGCAGCAACATAGCTGCAGACATGCATATACTACATACATCTACATGTAATCCAACGCAGCTCATGCGTTGTTATAAAAAAATTTTTGCACCGGAAAACTGTGCAAGAAAAACAAATCGAAAACAATAAAACTCGTTTCTGCAGCTGAGTTACAGTTTTCAATTCATAAGCGCGCTTTTGCTGGGCTGTAGAGCTGTTGTTGTTGTTGCCGCTGCTGCTGGTGCTGCTGCCACAACTTGATGGCCCAAGCGTATAAATAAACGCAAAGAATACGAAATTGAAACAGTTTTTAGTGCGTTTTTGAAAACGTTTGATCAACAAATTGCCACTCCAAGTGCAACGGTGTTGCAAGCTTCATAACGGCAAAATAAGTCGCAGATTGTCAAAGAAAAGCTAAATTTAAAAGCGATTTTTAGTTTAAACCAAAGTCTTGCAGAACAGTACAAAAGTAGTTAAAGTGAAGTTGTGAAAAAAAAATGGCTTTGAAGGTACGCAGTTATGTTGAAGTGTTGCTGCTTTTTGCTTGTTTTTAAATTGCAAAAGGACATTTTGGAAGGGCTTGAGTGTGCTTTTGGAAAACAAAATGGGAAAACTTTCAAAAGCATGGAAAGACTAGTGAAACATTTCAGACATTTGTGGCAAGAAGAAGAATAAAGGACAAAGGAATGCATGAAAAAAAATTCTTTAAATCTGTGGATATGGTTTTCTTAAATAGTTTAATTATGTGTATAATTGAAGCAAGTTTTCAAGCCGAGCAAAGTTTTTGACATATATTTGATTATGTATACCAACACAAGTCCTTTAATGCCCAAAATATATATTTTAAATATATGTATATTAGGGCGGGTAAATTTTTTTTAACTATGCGTGTATAGAATTTGAGGATTCTAAGTGTAATTCTAATCAAATTTGACAAAGAAACCATGGATAAAAAATCAATTCGGAGTTTGCCAAATTGCGAAAATAAATTTCGAATAAAATAGGAAACTTTCACTGTTGCGCTCTTTGTTTGAAGTTTTAAGAAAAAGATAAGTGCAGAAATGAATTCTTCATAAACGCCTTATAGCTTGTTTTTATACAACATTTAAGCACTTCTTTACGACACTTCAGAAGAATGCTAAGAAACCTATTTTCGCAATTTGGTAAACTCCAAATTGATTTTAGACTTAATATTTCTTCGCAAAAATTGCTTAGATTTACACATAGAATCGTTCTGTGCTTTACCCACGTAGTCGAAAAAATTTCCCGTACAAATTGATCCGCCCTGATGTGATATTAGAGGGCATCACTCTACATACAAAAAAAACAGTGGTTTTTCCCACCGGAAATATTAAATTTATAACATTTTAAGACTTTTTATAAAAAAAATTAGTTGTTAAAAATATTCTTTTTTTTTTTCTAAAAAATTCCCTCAGATGATAGATGTATGCAAGCTAGAAATAAATTTCAATAAATAAATTTTGAATAAATTAGCTTTAATATTTACTGATTTATCGAAGATTTCGTATATCTCCAAATTACCGTTATATGGGATGTGGGCGTGGTTATTGGCCGATTTTAAAAATTTTCGTCCATTTGGTATGTTGTACCGAGGCCAACAACTGTGCCAAGTTTGGAAGAAATTGGTGCAGCGGTTACCAAGCTATACACATGTTACCATAAGTGGGCGTGGCTACGCCCATTTTCCAAAACTTTATAATAGTTTTATTTTTCGGACTGACGAACGGACGGACAGACAGTCACTGCTTAATCGATTTCTCTTTTCATTCTGATCATTTATGTATACATTTGTTTATATCTATCTCGATTCGTTTTGCCTGTTACAAACAACCGTTATGTGAACAAAGTTATAATACCCTTGTGCACAAGTGCGCTCGGGTATAAAAAACAATAAAATAAAGCCTGTGTCACAGGCTTTGAACCCGTGACCAACAACACGGCAGTCGAACACACATCCATTCGGCTACATCAGCCGTTGAGATAACGTGAAAAAAAAACATAAAGGGTATTCAGACTATACTCTTTAAGGTCTTAATTCGGTATTCGATAACTCCCACCATTGTTTTGTCTTTGTAAATTACCAAATATATCATTACCAACTTAACGAGGTGACAGCTCTGATAATGCGGTAATAACACGCGTTAAAATGTCAGCTATTTTTTCTGTCACTTATTTGCTGGAATTTTCTCCCGCGAAATGTGCATACATTTTATCGAAAGTTCAATAAACCTTTCTGTTGTGGAATTAATAAATGTTTATAAATAAAAGAACTTCACGTCAGCTGATTCGAAAGTAATTTCAACCAGAAAAAGAATAAGGGGCGTTCGAAGTTTAAAGTGTTACCGAGTTACCAGATAACGAATTAATACATTAACGAGGAAAGTCTGAATACCCTTATGGTTAAGTTAGTTCTCAAACTTTTTGTTTTGTGTGTGGCTTCCAAACTGCGCATCAGCCGCTCACTTACATACATTGCGATGCATCTTTTCGTTCAACCGTAGTTGTTAATCTTGGTGGAAAAAGGTAATGCATTCCCATTTTTCCACTAGGCATCGTTGCGTATGCGTATGTGAAAGTTTCCGTTGAAGATTTTAAATTAAAAAGTCATACGAAGCAGAGAAGAGAAAAGCTGTAAGTCGGCGGGCGCATAGCAATAAATCCTTTGGCCGTTTTTGAAGTCAGCGAACTCACGTAACGCTATTTGTTTTCATCGTTTTATGCGTTGCTGTTCTCGTTGTTGTTTTGCTTTTGTAAAGTTTTTTTGCAATGTTTATTACTTTTTCACTCTTGGCTCGGATGAAAGTTCATTTTAAAATGTTTACTTTTCACTTTACGCCTTTGCCATTTCTTCTTCGTGGCGTCTTCCCTCATTGTATCCATAGATTTCTACCCTTAGGTGCTCTGTTGAGTTTCTGTTTGTTTACACAGTATTTTAAGTTTTTTTACTGGTGCTTTGTCGGACTTTTCACTTTAGCCGCAAGTTAAAATCAATTGTTTTAAATAACTATGTATTTTTCTTACAAATATTTTGGTTAAATCCTAACGTAAATGGCTTATTAAACAAGATGTCTTGAAACCGATGGGGAGTATATTTTGTTTTAAAAGCAAAAGTTAATAGTTTCTGCCTTAAAAAAATACTTCTGGAAATTTTTTGACTTATTGATGCTATGTAATGTACTATCGTCTAAAAGCGGTTCTGGCCAAGTGTTTCGAGCTGAGCTGTCCTATATCTCGCATACGATCAAAGTTCAAGCCAGTATGGTAGAATGGAGAACTGGGTCAACTTAGGTCGACGGAATGGAAGCTCTTCAAAAAGATTAAACGTTGCCGACGTGAAGAAGGCTGAAACAAATATAGAACCAGCTTAAAAAAGAAAAGAAAAATCCTGGCAAGAGTTCTGCGGCATACTGGAGACCACAAATGAGGCGTCGAGACTTCGTAAGGTATTGACGGGGTCGGACACAGCGTCTTGAAGCGAGCTTGGGCGGTCCCTAGTCAGGAAACCCTAAATTGTCAGTAATCAAGTGACAAATCGGTTTCCTTTTTCTATAGAAAATGTGTCAGTTATTGTGGAAAAGGAGAAAATAGCTGTCAAGTCTTTCGTTCCGTTCAAAGTTTAGTCTTACTGTAGTTCTAGTGAGCCGATAGATCGTTTTCGACTTCCATATGAACTTCCTACGCTTTTCAACGACTTTTCTAGAACAGCATATGGCTACTGCAAACGTCTTTTCCCCATTCCTTAAAGCTCAGCTCCCATCACAGCTAGCGGTTCGGGGTCATGACCAAACAGTTTATTCAACTTTTCAGAGCTCGTAAGCGAAATATCTTTTTCTAAGGCAGACTCTCTATAAGTAAGGAACCCTCTCTCTTCTTGGGAAATGAAAGAGTGCTATTTTCCAGGCATCATTGTACAGTTTCACACAAAGTGTCTTAGAAATTTCCTCTTACAATAAATTCTACGCTGTCATCTTAGAAAGCGATCTCTCGCTAGAAGACGTGCTGCATACTCTCCAATACTACACATAATCGCTTGTGAGAACCCATTGGGAAATAAACGCGTCGTAAGCATTCTGTTTATTAATGACCAAATCAATCTCCCGAATGTCTTTAAGATAAACAAGACGAGTCTAACAGATCTGAAACGCCTTGGGGCACTCGACTATCCATATCATACCGCCCTCTTAAGTTCCGAAATACAGACTCTGCCTAACCAGAATTCCACAGCTATTCAAATATTATTATCCAAAGTAGGCGGCGCTCATCTAATATTTTAAGTTAACAGCATCGAGGTCGTTAGTTTTCATGTTTGCTCTGCCAGGCTGCTTGTTAGACTAGGCTGAATTGGCCTCAATCTGGTCCCTTATGATACCGCACAGAATTTGCATACGCCTTTGCATCCTGCATAAAGTAGCAGGTAGAATTGACGAGTTTGAGCAATCACTGCATCTTTATTCCCTATATAGCATTAAGGTCTCTTAAGTTACTATTCTTAACAGAAGAAGCTCTCACGATATTGTGAGCATGTATTGCATGTGCCTAGGTGAGCTTGCAGTTGGCGGACGGCATCCACAACCTCTGCCAAAGCAGCGAAAGTAGACAGGAAGTGCATTGACTTGCAAGTACGTCTTTTATATCGTTGACTGATATATTCTTACCTCCACTTCGCTGACTGATCTGCGGTTTGGACCTACCTGACTGATTGAGAAAATAAAAATAATATTGTGTGCGACTAGGTAGCTAGATAATTTTCTCAGTCAGCTGACTGCACCTTTTTTCCTTATTAAGTTTTTTTAGATTTAGGTTTAGTAGCACATTCACCACTCCCATGGTCGGTTGGACCTTTTTTTAGCATGAGGTTGACTGATTTCTTAGTTAAAATATGCCATCAGATCACCTTTTCATACAAAAGAATTTGCTTAGCTTTCCGTAAACGTATAAGGTGTTTAATACCCTTGGTTTAACTTCCGTTTTCCTTCCTCCTAAGTTTTATCTGAATAACATCGCCAAGCATAAGAGATGAGAAATCTGTTCGTCGATACTCCTGCTACATACATACATTTATAGATAAGCCTGTACTTAATATTAATTGATATGATCAATATCTTTTTAAAGGCGATCTCGATATCTCGATACCTGAGAATGCTCTTAGGTTATATTCTTTAAAGTATAGCAGTCTTCCAATTGATGTATGTATGTACATATATATTTACATAATCGTATGTATATTCAGTATATGTACATACATATATGTAAATATTTTCTCATTCTTACCATAATTGCCACTTTCGAAATAAATCGAAAATAACCACACAATCTACGCCACATTTTGATAGCACAGTTGTAAAAGTTCCCACTAACGTTTGTGGCAGTAATCAAAATCAAAAAGAAAATGAAAATAAAAATAAATGCCAATCGTACCAGCTGACATACTGCTGCTGAAGATTATTGAGTGGAAAAATGCATATATGCATCCACTTAAGTATGTGCAATACTTTTACACTTAACGGCAAATATGCATACACATATATATACATAATTGATAGAGAATAAGTTTACACTCTTTGTACTTGCTTGCATTTTTATAAACAGGGTTATTTTTTTGGTTTGATTTGTATGAACTTCGGAGTAAATATTTGGTATGGCAGTGCGTATGAGTAACCATGCTGTATGTGAATGAACATTTGTTGTTACCAACACTTTTAAAGTATGAAGCATGCCTTTAGTGTGTTAAGAGGCTATTTTGAAAGTCTTAGGGCTGGTTTCTCCAACTCAACTTAACTTAGTTTAGCCATTTTCCTAAATAGATACAGTATTGGTCCCATCTAAATCACACCAATTTCAGTGTGATATTGTTTGCCATTTAAGTTTACTTATTCATTTTCAAGAATTTTCAATCAAAATATGGTTCATACTCTAACAAAACCCACATAAAACCAGGTTTAAGACTTTGTAAAACACTACAAAAAAATCGCAACAAATATTCACCTTTCTTTTTTCTCAAAAGTGTTAGAATTTTCTTAAATATACAATTTTATAGCCCATTCAATTTTAGCCTGATGATGTGCAAGTGCCTGTCAATGTCTAAAAAGTGCGGTAATTTTTTAATTTTTTTTTGTTGCATTTGCTTCTATATAACGAATAAACACAATTCATTTTTACTTTAGCATATTTAAGACATTTGGCCAATTCACAAGAGTCTCATATTCTTCGTACCGTTGTATGGTTGTAAAAACATAGCACAACAGACGATAGCATGAAATAAAAGACCTTGTGAATTGGCTAATTGTTTATTTATCGAACTTTTCGAAGCTTTTAAAAAAAAAATTTTTTATGCATATTTTTGCCAGCTCTGGCTATTATAACATATTTTCATTCGATTGGCTTCACAGTAAGTAATGCACTTTATGCTATTCGTTGATTAAACTTTAAAATTTCATTTCAATGGTAGTTAGCTTTTCGATACTCAAAATTTTGTTTGCAGCTTTGCTGCATACTATGTCCCCATGAAAATTGTAATTTTCTGGAAATTTGTGCATTAGAGATATCGCAAATGAGCGTAGTATTTGAATGTCGTATTCCAACTACATATGCACACAGGTATGTATGTGCATTAGGGTGCTGGAAAAATTCATGTAAGAAAATTAATGTTGGAATTTTAAAGCTCTCACCACCGAGGAGTTTGCTGATTGAAAAAAAAGTAATTTTAAGGATTCAATATCATTTTTACGAAAAATTTTATTTCCTATTTGAGTGCTTTGAAGAAGAAAAAGAAGCGATATTTTTTCGATACAAAACAATTATAGGGGTTTGCGAGCATTAATTTCCGACTTAACTTTTTTTTTGGATCACCCTAACATACATACATACCAAATGTCATTAAAGTGTGTTAGCAGTAAAATTGCTAGAGTTACATACACTCATATGTAAGTATGCACGAGTAAGTAGAACCAGCATACCTGGTGGTATCGCAATATTATCAAGATTTCCGAAATCCCGGCAAGATTAATTAAAACTTTAAACATTTCGCATACATTTCATGGAGTTTTGAAACCAAAATGAAGGCAACTAAGTAGTGGTGCTGAGAGAAAGTTTTCAAATTTCATCGAATTGCCAAAAAGTTACACACACTACGACAGAAGAGCGTAAAACAAGCGCGCCATCTCTCGCCCTCTGTCGTTTGTTCGACAAGTTGGCCGTCGGCAACTGTCTGTGCAATCATTAAGTCCTGCTCATGCAACAATTAATTACACCAAATGTGCCTTTTATACGGCTGCTGAGCGCCTAAAACTATGCTTCGCTCTTAAAATTTGTTTCACTTGCATTTTATTGCCCTTTCATTTATGTATATACACACGTTTACGTTCACTCATTTCAGGTTATTTTCGTAATTGCCGCTGTGATTGCTTGTGCGCATGCCAGGCCCGGTGGCCCAGCGGCCTATTCCATCTCTGCGCCCAGCGTGGATCACGCCTCAGTGGGTAACACACAAGAGCATACCGTGAAGGGACATTACGGCCAATCCTCGCAATCGGACTACTCCAGCGCCGTGCAAACTGCGCACTCACAATCGCACGTTCAACGCTCCAGTATTAGCAACGATGCAGGCATTGCGCCACATATTGGCGGTAAGTTGGAAATTGCGCGATTTTTATTGCACAGCAAAGTTGAGCTTGAGACAATTTTTATTATTCTACATTTAATGATTAACAATTAAATTTATTTCATATTTTTGCACACTTACATATGTAACACGCCGTTTCGCACACACTTTACTATTTTTCGCACCGTCACAACTCACTTCGCACTTATGTTTTGTTGCTTCTTCTGCACTGTCTTGCACTTTTACTTACACACACACACACACGCACATGCACACTCCTTCCTACATACTTATGCACACCCTCTAATTCTGTGCTAACAAATGAACGTAAATGAAAAAAAAAAAAAAACAATAAGGTCACGTAGTCGCCGCCGCTGCACCTGTTGCCCATGCCTATGCTGCCCCCGTTGCTGCCTACGCTGCACATGGCTATGCCGCGCATGGCTATACCGCGCCGGCAGCCACTTATGCCGCGCATGGCTACACCGCGCCGGCGGCCACCCTCAGCCATAGCTATGCTGCACCTACGTACGCTGCGTACGCGCATGCTGCCCCCGCGCTTTCCCATGGCATCGCATATGCTGCACCGGCCAGCTATCATGCTCCGGCTATTAGCTACCAAACTGCACACGCTCCAGCTCTGCATTACGCCGCTTCTGCCCCGGCTTATGGACATTACGCCGCGCCTGCTGCTCTCGCGCATAGCTATGTCGCTGCTGCGCCGGCTGCCTCTGTGAAATACGCTTCGGCACCTGCTTATGGTATGTAGAGAAGAGCACAAACGCTTAAAAATAAATAATTTTTATTAGCATTTGTAGTTGCGTAGATCTAAATATTTGCTAATACACTAATTTATTTGCAATAAAATATATATTCAAACTAGCCAGCATAGTCCCGATGAATTTATTAAACTCCCAAAATTTAAGTTTATGATATTTATGAGTAAAAATACCAAATACTATATGTACAAATATGCCTATGTTCGTTTGTTGCACCATTTTATCATTGTAAAATCTAAATTGTAAATATTTGTAAAATAGTTTTTTATTTCACCAACGCACAAAGAATTTTAATTTTAATTTGAATTTTATGTGTTGCCAGCCCATTAAAATGATTCGCCGCGTTGCCACGGACCTTTAGTTATTTCAAAAGAATTAAAAATCCAAGCTTTAAATTCTATGTATCATCTACTCGTTGTATTTATAACTAGTGAACACGTAGGGCCACAATTTTTGGCCAAGAAATTGCATACAATTGGTGAAATTTGCCAGAAACCATTTAGGTTAGGAAGGCAACTTTCTACAGGCCTGCCATATATATATTAGGGTGGTTCTTAGAATATCGACATCGAATTTTTTTATGGGGCATCAATTTATTTGCTTTTACGAAAATTTAAAAATTAAAAAGAAAAACATTAGGGGTCGCGAAAACTCAAAAAAAAAAAATATTTGAAAACTGATAATTTTGACATATTACTCACACTTTTTTATATAAATATAGAAACTCGTTGAGTTAAACTGATTTAAAATCAAAATTTTGTAGAAGATTTTTCAAACCCTGGTAGGTACAACTAAAAGTTTAAAAAGAAAATTGCGTACGTAGCTTTTGTATAAAACCATTCAGGTTAAGAAGGCTGTTGCAGATGCTACTTACACCCCTCCTACTCAAATCTTGGGTGTACCTACATGATGGCGGATTGATTCACTTTTAGCTAACCCAGAGGTAAACTGATGCGTAACGATTAGATTGGAAGTCGATCTTGATACGAGAATTTTATGTGTAATTCTAAACAAATTTGCCGAAAAAACCATGGGATTTGGATGTAGTGTCGTAAAGATGTTTTAAATTTTGTATAAAATCATAGCATGTATTTTTTTTTCTATGGAAGATCCATTTCGGCAATTATCTTTTGATCTTTGATTTTTTACTGAATGTCGTTTTCGTACGCAAAAATTTGCAAGGAACTAGCAAAAGAGGGGAAATTGAGAGAGCAAAAATGACAGCTGAACTTGCAAGTTTTACTGGATTTTTACTGGATAAATTTTTGCTAGCAACTATTTGCTAGTAAGGAAAACAGCTGGAGGCATGATGCTTAATGTAATTCACATTAACAAAATAATTGTTTGTGGTGCTTTTAGAGTTGCAATTGGCAAAAAAAACCTATTTAAATATAAGTTGGAAAATACTAGTTTTCTATGAAAATTGCATCGGAAAATAACAAATTAATCAGCTCTTCATAAAACTAGCAACTTCTTGCTGGTTTTGCGTTTTCTTACTTTCTTGCATATTTCACTCATTGGGAGTAAATATTGGCTTACTCTCCGAAATTTGGTTACTGGCAAGTTACCGGATATTTTTTTGCTGGAGAATACGAAAACACAACTTTTTTCTCCTCCGATGCTATACGCGAAAAAATTTACCTGCCCTAATGTACATATATAAAATGAAGTGAAGAATACATTAACTTCCCTGCAGCAAAATTGAAGGAACAGTCTGGCAAAGCGCTAGCTCCGTCCTACAAATTTCAGAACTACATACATATCACTTAACTACTGCAAAATGGCTGCAGTGCGGGACAGTTGAAACTTGCGATGTGTTAGTTGTGCTGTCCTCAAAGTTTTTCACATTTAGCATGCGAAAGCTGAGAAGCAAATGCATAAATTCTCAATTCCCATTTCCCGTACAATACGAACATAGCTACGCGGGAGGACCTCCGACTCTAACATCGCTTATCGCGAGTTCAAATCGTTGTGATTTTCAGATTTGATAAATTGAGATAGTTGCGTGCCGCTCAAAAATTTGAAGATAAAATCGCATATTTATAATCAGGGAACGGATTTTATGGAAATTGCCTTTTTTTCTGCTAAAGAGATAGAGTATATTCGATTAAGAATGTCCACGATTTAGCTTTCTCTGATTCCATATATACACATTTGATGTTGCCTTTTTTTTGCCTTTTTTAAGATATTTGCCTTTTGTTGCCTTTTCTACCTTTAAAAAAGTGATTATAGCATTTAAAATTTTTTTTTTTAAGATTAAAAAATATACACATGCCCATGCGGCTTATAGAAACGCAGGGACCTCTTGCCAAACTGGTGTTGGAAAAATTCAAAGCCGTTTTCTCAGCTAACGTAGGCTTAGAGACAATAAGGGGTGTGGATAAAATTGTAAAGGGCGCGGAAAACGCCCTTAATCGTGATAATATGAACGTTTAAAACGTTCCATAGTTAAATTGGGCGCCGCTTGTATCAACTTACGTCGAGCGCACATTTAGTACATTCAAGGCTTTTCTTCGCGAAAATCGAATGAAAATGCTGCCAGAAAACTTCAAAATGCATCTTGTGGTTCAATGTTACTACAGATTAAAGTTTTATGAGTTAGAAACTCGAAAGGATAAAATAGTCAAAGATACAAAGTACAAATTTTTCATATAATGAAACTAGTTCATAGTTTTTCTCTTTTTACTTGTAATATAAACATTTCTAAAAAAAATATATTTTTTGATTGTTCTTCGTATTTTCTGTCTTTTTTTAGTGCCTTATTTTGCTTTTTATGCAATACCTTTTTTTTGCCTTTTCCAGCCTTTTTCGCTATTTTATTTTGCCTTTTTTATAGGTTTTTAGGCCCTAAAAATCCGTTCCCTGTTTATAATAAATTGAAATTAAATTAAATACAATGCATAAAAGAAGAATCATCAACATTTTTTTTGTAACTCTTTGCCCCAGATCTGTGCAAAATGGAACCAGCTCAGAACGAGTTCTGCGGAGGGGGGCAATTGCCACTTCGTAGGACATGGCCATGTTAAAAATGACAGTCGAAAGCATTTTTAATTTGGGATAGATGTAGAACCAGTACCGTCACTTTTCTTGCTAGTTCGGCGCGACTTCCGAACCAGTTTAATTTACTGAAGGGCTTTGATTCAGGTGCAAGTATAAAAAAATAGCAAATAAATAAGTGTGTGTAGGTTAACGCCCCCGGCATTGTCATAGAAACCGCCACAACAGGTTTGACTTGCCACAAACATGCGAACTAATGCATATTTAGATATGTAGGTATGTATATATATATATATGCATATTCTTCTTTTTTCTACCACTAACATATAAACAGATGCACTATTTACAAACGCTGTTATGAAGATGCGTATGTATGTATGTATTTCCGCGGCGTATTTTAAAGGGAGCAGATACGCATCTATAATTTACATATTGACAATAATTTTAATCTACTTAAAAGCTTTGTGTCAAAGTTGAAGTGTTGTTAAACATTGTAATGAAGCGTGAATAACAACTTGACGCTGGTACTTATATACATAGATACATATGTAAATTCATACAAATATATGTACATACTAATGTGCATATATACATGACTGTTTATATAACTAAGTAACAAGAAATCTAAACCATTTTTTTTTACATACACCAAAGGTGTGTTTAAGAAATTAAATTTGTATTTATTTTTCGAAATCTTCAAAATAGGGATGGATGCTATTTGATTTTTGTTTAGGTTCATCCTTTGGTTTTCGTAATAAAGAAATTTTTTTATGAAACGAGACTTCCGAAAATCGACTTAATTTTTTTTTCTATGGATAAATTTTCGAAAAATTTTCAATTTACCATTATTCAGCTTAAAAAAGCGCTTCCACTTAATCACGTATATCTTACGAACCAATTTAACAATTTCAATAGGAAAAACGGCAAATGAAAGCGAATAAAAAATTGTCCATAAACCATATACTTATCGACGTTTAAAGTACAAACCCGCGTATCAACAAAATGCAAAATCGCGCAACTAAAATTTTTTGCTAAAAATTGGATTTGCTCAAACAAGCTCTTTGCTTCAATCTAGAAAATAATTTATGCAACCTCACATACGCGATTTTGCATTTTGTTGATACGCGGTTTTGTACGTTACACGACGTTATACATATATGTACATACGCCATGAGTACGGTGACCATCCGTCCTGTATTATACGGGACAGTCCTCTTTTTTGACCCATTGTCCTGGTAATTTATTTATT